TATAAATATGAAAAATCTTTTAAAATTAATTATGTATTTGCTGCATTGCATCCAGAATTCTATATTATTTTCAAAATTACATTACTTATTAAAGATTATATTCGCATAAAATTAATGTACAAATGAGTGTTTTGCGTTTTACGAATTTACCCAAGTATTATCTGTGCTTTTTCTTAAGTATAATAAAAATCAGTTCCCACGTTTTCTTCTCGCAACAAATTTATGCACTTTATAAATTATTATAACGTTTGTAATTATTTATATGAAGGCAACATGGAATAAAGTAATTTATAACTTTAATTTTAATATTAATAAATATATAATTTTTTTATTATAATAATTTAAAGTATAGTCATCTTTTAATAGATTTTTTAAATAATTTAAATAATATAATTTGCCATATTATGATATATAAAATATAGTCAATGATTTGTTAAAATTTTGAATACTGAAAATATATTGTTTATATTTTATATGATTTTGTAAAATTATTATCTATATTTTTTTTCACAAAAAACGTTGAAGCTTGATATTTAAAAAATAATTACATTTCAAATATAATATATTAGTGTACTGTTCAATTTTCATGTTTGACAAATTATCTTTTTCTTACAGTTTGCAGTAACAAAACGTGGCATATTATTATCACAATCTAATACATTTTTGAAAAATTTATTTAAGATACTACCTTTTTCATCAAATTTGCTTCGTTTCACGAAATAAAAATTCTTTAATTATCTATAATACTTTTATATTAAATTAAAGATTTTTTTAGATAAAAAGAAAAATTAAGAAATAAATTTAAAACATCAATTACGTTATATTAAGCAGTACAATCAATCTTTGATTACTTTTGACCTTTTAATTACTTTATTAGTATTATTATTATCATTATTATTATATATAATACATTTCAATATTTACAAACATAACAAATCTACTCAGTTACTCATATTTATCTATAGCCTTGTTCATGAGTTCATATCATAATTATAAATTATTTTAATTAATATGTATTTAAATTATGTATTCTTATAAATTATATTTAAATTATATATCAAATTATATAATATATATAAATTAGTATATACAGATATCAGAGAAATTTAATGAAAACTTCTACACAAATTAATAACCGTAAATCTCCATTTAATTGCATACATAAATAGTAGTTAAGCTCGGTTAATAATAATAATAATAATAATAAATTAACAAATTCTAATAGAAAATATCATTTAATATTTAAATGTAACTTTTAATAAGTAAATGTGAATAATATAATATAATAATATTATAATAATAATAAGAATGATAAGACTATATATATTTATTATAAATTATATTAATACTTCATAATTTAAATATTTAAAAATATGCGAGTTTTTTTTATTTATTTTCTAATTTATTTTATAGTTCATTTTATATTCACTCCAATTTAATATTTGAATTCTACTTAATTTCTTTAAAAGTTGATGAAAGAAATTGACTACTACATATTTTATAAATAAGCCTATTTTTAAAAGGTTTATATTAATATTATTTTAAATAAATTAATAGAGTAGGATATATTTTAAAAGTTTGCTGTCGTTGAATATTGAAAATCGTAATACTACAACGTTCTATATTTCATTTTATTTATATTCACTATTTTATAAAACTGAATAATACATTCATTCAAATAAAATATATATTTTTATGTGTTTATTAAATGTAAATATAACATGTAAATATAACAATGATATTTATTGATATATTTTATATTATACAAATTTTATATTATATTTAAGATGAGCCGTAATTTCCTAATTCCAGAAAAGTATTATATCTTGAATGCGATGACGTGATTTAACACCTATGAGTTATATATAGGATTTTTTCATTCTTCACATAAAAATTTACAAATAAATTCACGAAAATCGACAATTGTTGACTTGTTATAAACATCTGCGTAAAAAATAACTACAATTGTCGATTCTTAAAAGTCTATTACAATAAATCAATTCAAAAATAGCAATTGTTATGCTAAAATGCAAAAAATATTAAGTATAGTGATAATATTACCAGCATTAATAATTACGTATCTTAAATAAACCTAATTTCTATTAGAAGAAACCTGTAGTTTAAGAAAGACATCAATTATGGACACGCTCCGTAAATGACAAAGTTAGTGTAAACATAAATAAACGATTTGATCAACAATACTTTAGTTATTATGCAAATTAATTTTAATACAAATTCCTCAATTATGTTTCTAATATAATAGATAAAATTCATGTTATATTTAAAAATATAGAACACGTAAAAGGTAAAACTTTCTTAATTTATAATGACATAAATCTAATATGTATTATAATAATTTATTAGAATGTATGTTAATATAATGTATCGCATAAATTATAAGAATTATTATAAAAACGGTATTAAGAATAATGAAAATTAGTGTTGGAAAGGGAATTTTCCATTCTTCAAATATTGTGTAATATGCATTTAGTGGGCATGTAATAGAGAAAAATACTAGAATCTTATTTGTAATGTTCAATTGCCTGTATATATTTCTCTCAATTTCAAATTAAAAAATTATATAATAGAATAATTGGATTTTTCTACACTTGTAAATTATTAATTATATGTCCAAAATTAAAATTACTTTCCACAACCCATGGATAATAGTATATATTATTCAGCATATTTTAAATACTGTGCATACATAACAGATATAACACTTTTCGAAATATTGCCGTGCTCAGATTAGTTGCCTTATTTGCTTTAAATCCATTACACGTACAACTATAAGATTGTTAATCAGTTTAAGGACAGAAGCGAGAAATAGTTAAAAAGTTGTATTGAATATTAAATAAATGAAATGGCGCCATACCACCGTACCATCTTATGAGCGCACATGTTGATGTATGATATGAGATACTAATAAATGACCGACTCATAGAATTCTTCCAACTACCGCTTTCTTTTTTGACTTTATGACTTAGATTAGACACAAAATAGTGCATTAGTTTCGTGTATGACTAACTGGCAGTAACTTTAGAAACGCATGATAAAATATGAAAATCTAGGTCGTTGTTGACACTACTACTAGTACTTAATTCGCACAATTGCTTCTATTTTATCGGCAACAAAGAAATCACATAAATACTCGCTTATTTTCCGGGACGGCCCATTATTCCAACACCTAGTATAAATATATGCTTGTTTAATGAAAATTACAGAGAGAGAGAGAGAGAGAGAGAGAGAGAGAGAGAGAGAGAAAGCCAACGAGAAAGTGAAGGAGGTAGGGGGAGGTAGAAAAGAAATAGAAAAGGATGCCTAGAAGTATGCCTAAGCAGGCATTAGAAGACACAGGTGCCGAGATAGAGATAGCGGTACACTCCTCGCCTCTCGGCAAGAATGCGCTTCCTTCCTTCGAGGTACACTGAGTCGTGTCTAAACATGGGCCTGTCGCTATCGCCTTCGTCCTTCCCGCTCCCCTCCTTTTGCGGATCAGCAAATTGTGTACTGGGATGACGCGCCCTGCAGCGTAATGAGGATGTTTGGCAGTCGGCGCACGAGCGTATTTTTAAAGCTACGAATTATATGCGACGACGCGCGCGTCCAGGAGGCTTCCTTCCTTTCTCGCGATCTGTACAAAATAAACAATTATGTGTCTCGATTGGCATTTTCAAAACAATTGTCTGTCAAGCAATTACGATTTTTATCAACTTTTCTTTTCAAGGTTATGAAAAATGATGTAAGATCGAACCGTAGCTACAGTTCTCATATTTTTCCTGGTATTGAAATTGATTTGAACATTATTCACCGAAATATTATCACATACCACGATCACGTAAAATATTTAAATCAAATAATAAAGAAAGTCTCGAAAACAATTAAATGAGCATCTAATATATTAAATTATTAATAATCGATCAAGGACATATTTAAAAATACCTAATAAAGATATTGATTTCTACCGATTCTGAATTAAAATTTATACATCGTATTATTAAATATAAACTTCTTATACTAACTACGAATTACTTCTATTTTTCTGTATATCTCACATTATTTAACTTCATTCTCATTTTCAGTGCTTTAACAATTTAATTCTCGATTTCGTTTTATTTTAAGATATCTTCAGTAGTTTCAATATTAACTATAATAAATATTATTTCGTCTGTGTAATTCAAATTCATAGCTTAGGCAAGGGTTCTTTGTTGCAGAATCTAGAAATACAGTGAATTCCAAATAATTTTCAAATTTCATTATAAATAGCATGGAAACTCGCCTTTATTAACTTTGTCACTTTTTCGCAACATGAAACAAGGCTTCCTTCAAATAAATTTTTGTTCTACGAATAACCCTAGAAATCCACTATGAAACTGGTTATAAACAGGATACTTTTACTGTTGGTGAGACGAGCTGAGATAAGACCATAGCTCACATGAAAGAGAATCTATAGAGTATGGAAAGTTATATTTTATCATAAAATCATTAATAAATAAATAAGGAAATTTAATCAACTATGTATTACGATAATTATCAATTTTTCGATTTAATAGCCTACAATGTTAACTTTGAGATAAAACGCGGCATAGCTTGACGAATAAAATTTTTATAAACAAGTCAGCCATACTTGATATCTAAATGCATGAAATTACCGATGACAAGACCCGTTTGTCTATAAAACAAACTCATTCCCTCTCTTATTTGTACTTGTGAAATTAAGAGCTGGTCTACCTGTTAACCCCATATACGTAGACCCTATATAGAGAACCTCTAAATAACAAGATCTTGCGCAAAAAGAACTGCACCCAAGTTACAACAGTATTCTACGAACTCGCGTAAGCTCTGTCCAGATAGGTATAGCTATTGATAGCATGAGACGGCCAAGCACCAAGAAATTACAATAATAGGTCTCTTCGATATTCGAATTACCATTATCCCGATATTTATTCACGCGCGATCCAGACGAGAAGCTAATTGCGCCGCATACATTCGTATTTCAGGCAAACATCTGGTGCTGGTGACAGACCCGGAAATCGTCGAAGAGGCCTACGCCTTTGACAATCCTTGCTTTAAAGATACCACGCCAGCAGTGGGTCGCAGCCTAGAGCGACCGAACCTCGCCGGCCAGACGGAGACGACGCCTACTGCCAAGGACGCCGGGCGCTGGTCGACAGCCTGGTCGAACATAGGCCGCAGCGAGAAAAGACGCACCCTCGACGACTCCTGCCTCGGGGTGAGTTACAAAAGTGCCAGGCACAACTTAGTTATTTTAATTAGCTTTTTTTCTTGATTTCCTAAGGTACGTGCACGCTTGACAACTATTTCATTTATATTTTATGAAACTCGTTAATTGAAAACCATGAACATTGTTTTTTTATATTAAAATTAGGTATGGCTGTGGAAATAAATCTTTTACAATCCTGATTCACTTCATTTGGCTAATTTTATAACATGAAACGTTACTGCATAAAGAACTTGATATAATACATTATTCTACAATATTATTCGATTCAAGTTTGTAATTTACCTACGTGAATTTCCAACTCATTTAATTATTTTATCTTTTATAGTCTACAACAAATGTCCATATTTATGTGCATAAATACATTATTATAATGTTCTATTAAGTAAATAAAAATATTAAAGTGGAAAGTCTCTCTTAAATGGTAAAACAATTATTTCCTTGTAAAATGGACAAACATATAGTTAATGTTTGAAGCTTAATTGAATGCATCATGTTATAATTTATCTAATTATACTTCTTCGTACTATCATCCAGACATACTTCATAATAAACAGCTGCGTAGTTTATTATTAAAAAGTGGGAGTAGAATATTTCAAACACTCAAATCTATTATACATTCGTAAAAGACTTGAATGATTATGTAAATTACATAATGTTTCCATAATATTACGACTTCCCACAAACTATCGTAATCGATAGGAAATATAATAGGATATAATATAATTTTATTATATCAGTTGACATTGTATTGTAAATATTTTCATTGTGTTATGTAGAATTTCCAAAACATTCGTAGTCGATTCAAATCGCTCATAATTCTTTATTGAGTGCTGAAAGTATAATTAAAAGTTTTAATTCTTTTTTGTGTGTTATTAAAAATTTAAGGTTTTTTTACTTTGATATTTCATTTATTTTACAATATTTTCATAATTGTAAAAAATATGTAATTACATGTTTTAGATGGTTAATAATAATTCAATACATTATGTATTTCATTTATGATGAATTATAAATTAGAAGGCAAAGGTGTAAGAATATACACCATTATTTATGTTATTTTTTCTTAAAGATAGTTAATATCTTTATTATACATGTAATTGTTTTTAAATTCTTAACATTTTCACATTATATATACATTCTATAAATCATACTATTCAAATTGTTCGCCACAAATTGTCATACGCAATTATTTTTGCGAAATTATTAATTATTTATATCCGAGAACAATTTAGGGATGAATTTTACAAACCTTATTACAGTAACAAATATCTTTTAAATTTTCTCTAAACCATAATTTTTTTTAATGTATTTCGATTTAAATTGTACATAATAATATAGGGACGACTATATAATATTACAATGAAAGTTTTAAATGAAAGCATTGTGATTTATCTGCTATTAATAATTGATTATGAACTATTAGTCAAGGCATATTTATTTCAATTGACTCAATTGGTACTGATTTGATTCGATTTAACTTTGATTCCTAGAACTTTCGTATTTCAGAATAAATTAAGAATTATTAAGAACAAATTTCAGTATTAAAGAAACATGCTATTTATCAACTAATTATTTCTCAAATACAGAGATTTAAATTATTCTATAACTATAATGAGTATGATAGAATCCCATTATTGCCCAGAAATTTAAAATTTTCAAGTAATTAATTTTATTACTCTACGTTTTATCGTTCAGAATCGGATAAATTTGAATTGGTTTTTATCATTCATTGTTTTAAATTTACCCACTTTTTGCCTTCATCCTATTTATATCTATTTGTTTCTACTTACTCGTACTTTTGAAAGTGCTTTCATGACTAGTTAAAAAAAATGTTAGGAATTTAAGAACATTTTATTAAATAGTCATACCTTTTGTAAATTATTCTTAGTTTACCGATCGATCACATAAGAAATATAGCACAAAACGTGATGTTATTCAATATGTATATTTCGAACAACCTGTGTGTTTTCATTTTCGCCACAATATTTTTGATATGCTCGTGCTCTTCATTATTAAATTTTTTTCGTTATTAGTGATAAAAGTATAAGTACTGATGAGAAATCTTTAAATAAAAACTGAGTCATCTGCAACTGCATTTGTAGAAACCTCAGAGTTTTGTTCAACAATAATCCAACATTTTCTTCCTACAATCATTCAAAATATCATCAATATTTGTTTTTCACCTCTTAGCAATCTTAAATGGATAAATAGTTAAAGCTTGTCTTACCGTTTTAACCAACGAATATATGCTTCGATTGCTATATAAAAATTTATAATATTTCTTCATCCATTAGCTTGTATTAACAGAGCTATGGGATTTATAATCAATATCATTGTATTATTTTTGTTTATTAATGTGTATTAATGTAATTTAATTGTATTTTCTATATATATTTATTCATTATGTATTTTCTATAGAAATCAAAATCAGACAATATCACGCATTAAATTATCAGAAACGATTTAGTCTATAAAAGGTGTTTGCATTAGTTAGACAATGCGTAATAGTTTAATAGCATTATTAAATTGAGAGTAATATTAAGTATCTATATACAAAAATATATATATATGCTTAATGCCAAATATAAAAATTTAATAGCATTTTCAAATAGGTGTCAGTCTTGATTTTATTTACGCTATTAATACAAAGAAATTCTCTGAAGATTGTAAGAAATTATTTACAATTCATTTACAGAAACATTTACAAAATTCTGATTTGCATTTCATTTAAGTAACTAAAGAGTCCGTAAAGCTGTTTCATACGGCTTCTGAAAGTAGAATACGATTAAGTATATGATTCGGATATACAATTGTAATTTATAAAATTATTTGCTAATTTAGCGTACAATAATGATCATACAATCTTAATATTATCCTACAATTTTAAATGGCATTAAAATTCTAATTATTTCTTTTGAATTTTCACATTTTCAAACTTTGAAGTGAGTAATTAAACAGAAATCGTTGTGTATTGACGTTACATTTTCAATTAAAATAAAATTGTTCATTAACTTTAATTATGGAATACATTAACATTTTTAAGAATTTCCTAAATCTTCATTCAAAGTCATTTTTAAAACTGTTTGAAATAGAGATTTTTCATATGAGTGTAAATAATATTCAAATATATCGCAAAAACGCATATTCACATACATCTAATGCAACTCATACAAAATTTATTCGTTCATCCCTATTGAAAAAAAGGTTTTATTTTATCATTATATAAAAATTTAATCTACATATTAATTTTTGATGATTCATTATATATTCGCCAACAATTTTAGCTGCAGTAATTTATTCAATTCGAATGTTACAATATAATAATAACAAAGTAAATAGTCCATAAAAAGTCCCAACTATATAAACAATAAACGCCTTATAGTAAATTTAGTGAATCGAGTTGATTTTTCTACATTGCGGTGAAATGAGAGAAAATTTTCATGTATTTTTTAATCAAAATGATGGAAATGCAGTGGCTTCCACTATAATTTCTTATTTCTCTCGATACTATGCGTTTTCAGTATCTTGTTATTCGATCTTTCGAGCAGCCTTTTACCGCTGAGCATATACGTAGGTAAATCACCTTTTATGATAAAGCACTGAATTGTTGTATTTTCACTTTCGCAAGCCAACGAAGATAAACGGTTCGCTCTTAATTCAAATACTTGCCAAAGTTTTGTAAGGATATTTACAACGACATTGCATATGATTCAACCAATCGGCTAATAAACAAATTTTTGCTGAAATATTAATAATTAACTTATATAATTGAATCAATTTAAAAATGAAGTCATCACATGTTTTCATCAATCAAAAATATTCACTTATATCACAATTTTAAACTTGATTATAGGTTTAAAGTGATTTCAAACAAGGTAATAAATTTCTGTTGCTACACTGTTAATTCAATTTAATTATATTTAGAATAATATTAATATAATTTATATATCTAATGATGATGAAATTTACACTAGAATTTGTTTTCAATATATATTTAGATATATATTTTAATATAGAAAAATAAAAAACTCATTAGTTTTACAATTTGTTTTCAATGAATAACTTCATTTGTAAAATTGTACCTTCTCGTATGGAAATCATGAAAACTTTAACATTGTCAAAAATCAATGTTCTTGTTTAGTAAGATCAAATTCCAAAAACTTTATTCAAATATTTCTGGGCATACCGCGTATCAATGTTATTTCATTATATCAATGTGAAGTTATGTAAAATATAATAATTATGAATTACGAAGCATGATATTTTCTATGAATATTAACCTTGAAGCAATTGACCATTTATCAATGAACAACTCGTATCGAGCGACTTCCCTTCAATTTAACTCTATTTACAAACTACCTTTTAACATTCAAAAATGAAAATAAATTAAAAAAATTAAAAAATAAAAAGTCAAACATTATTCTTTCGAGCATTTCTTTCGCATATAAAAAAGCTAGCTCGCAACAGGAAATAATTTAATGTAAATATTGTATATATCTCAAATTCTTCCGAGCACTTAAAATTCATAGAATCTACTTTTTATATTTATATTTTATTTACTTATTATTATCATAATACGGATGCGTACACATAGCACAGATACTCATCAAAGATAAAAAATTTTGCCGATTAAAGTGTGTACAATCAAAGTGATCACTACTAATTTTGTCAATGGCCTTGCAGCCCAAGGCCACGAAGGTGAGTGTTGTTGGGTTGAGAAGCCGGGATTTCACGGGTCTTGGCTTCAACGTCTGTGGTAATATGCGCGAGGGCATCTTCGTCAAGGATCTACTGCATCGTGGCCCTGCTTCCGAATCTGGGCACATACATCCAGGTGAGTTGGCCATTTCGTCTTTTATGCCTTCGTTCGAGAAATTCCTGTAATTTTGCTTGGGAAGCATCTATTTGTATCAGTCGTATCGATTGCGCTTCCACTGATGAGCAACCCAATTTTCATGAAATTAGTTTACGTAAGCTGTTATTTTTATTTCAGCTCACACTTGAAGCTTCTGAATAAACCAGCTTTTGTTTTAATGATGAAAAATGCTAGTTTAATGTTAGATAAGTATTTTACATATTGCGAAAGAGATTAACGTGTGCAATTACCTATTGTTATTCGCCTCAACATACAATCGGAAAACTGATTATTGAGGTAAAAAGAAAAAATTAAAATAAGAATGTAATATTGATTTAAGTTTATTTGTTCATTCAAAGAATATCAATTAAATTCGGAATGGGTAAAATCTCCTATACTTACATAATATGAAAAATGTTAATTTTTATGAATTCGCAATTATCAGTTAACAATTCCTTTAATTCCAATTCTTATAAATGTAATAAATATGTAATAAAATAATTTGATAATTATAATGAAATATATACAATACAAATAGAAAAATTCAAAAATATAACTTAACATTATTGCATCAAATGCTGTTAACATGTAGTAAAAATATATACTAAATGGAAAAGAAGTTCAAGCATATTTTTACCAATAAATTTGTAAATCCAGTACAGCAATTAATTCTTTAACTTTTTTCATAAAAGCCAGAAAACCTTTAAAGAATTAATATAAATGTTTTTGTGATTTCTTAAATCAAAGTATAAAATTTTTTATGTCGTTGTAAATAAATGAGTAAAGAACGATTACACGCATGACGTAAGAAGCATAACTAATTGTCCAAGTTAGTGTGGTCAATATAATTTATTGCATACTAAAAAAAAGAAAATCAGAACGTTTCTTTTTCTGATTTTAAATTTTAAAATCTTTTATGATTAAAGTTTTCACTATTTGTTACTTTTAAAGATTATTATCACTATTAGTATTATTGTTGTTGTTGCTGTTGTTGCTGATACTGAAGATTACAATCATTCATTTCTTCTTATTCATAATTCTTTCTTTTTCATTTTTTACTAAAAATCTATAGTGAAATATTTATCTGTATTATAAAAATCTTTAAAATTATAATCCATTGATCCACCCAAATTTGTAAAATTTTATCCATTATATCGTTAATAATATTAAAAACACTAACTTCTCATTTATTAGAAAAACAATATTTTTATATTTGAATTAGCTTTGTTCAAGCAACGCATTAACGTTATACTAAAGAATAGTCGGTAAACAGTTAAAACGTAGTAACGAATAAGATTAAACAATTTTAAAAATTATGGAAATTATCTTTATCAAATAAAGTACAAGTACTTCATTAATTATTCATTTCGTGATATTTTCGAAGTCAAAAAATATACTATAGTTTTCAACAATAACTTTGTTTAACATTTACATATATTTAAGGCTTACTAAATCTTTTAAAGTATATAATTGTAGAAAACATTGCATAAAACAACTCACGTGTGTTCGTTTTTGTATTTTTATAATTAATTTTATAATTATTTTGATATATAACAAAGTTCGTTTTCTCTACAACATACTTCTAAGATAATTGTATTTCTCTATCAGTGCTTTATATTTTCAACTAATCTGCTAAGCCATGAAATAAGAAACAGAGAGCAGAGCTAATTTCAAGTCGCACGTCCGCCATAACTCTCCACTTTCCACTTTGTAACGAATATGATACGTCAATACGTGTTATTAAGTCATATTCTGAAATAAAATTACAATTCTAACAAAACAAAAAACCACGTCCCCCAGTCAAATTTTTAACTCGACTCAGTTAAAAGACATTTTTGCATACACTACTTCATCGCAGAGGATCCTTAAAAACTAGAAGGCTATGCCAAGATAACAAGAGCGATAATAGCTAAAAGCGAAAAATTAAAATTAAACATATTTAACGGCGTATTTATTACTGATCGCTGCTAATTTGACATTCACTTAAAATTGCCATATGTCATCTTGGGGCTCTCTAAGATTAAGCTACACTCGTACTTCATACTAGCTGCTTCATAATAGCCTTTCATTACATCCCCATAGGTGACCGTATTAGCAGCGTAAAGATCAGCTTCCGCTCGATGGTTTACGAGGATGCACTAACGATCCTCAGCTACGCATCGCCCTATGATGTGGAGCTCGAGGTGGAAAACGGCGGCGGCTCGGGCTCGAAGCCAGCGACTCTCTTAAAAAAGAGTGTTGGTCCAAGTCCCGCGCACATCTGCCACCCGCTCTACCGCAGCCAATCTATACCCGATTTATCGCAGGAACGTTCCGGGGGACGCAAGTATCTGGCCTCCAAGCGCCTCTTCACCGCGGATCTAAACGACTCGACCATAAAGTCCACCAAGTCAACACCAGGTAGTCAAAGCCTAGAGCGCCGACATGAGGAAATAGTTAACAAGAACAGCTATCATCATCACAACCACCAGCATCAGCAGCACCAGCAGCCCAAATTTGGAATAAGGGTGCTACCAGCCCTTGACGGTACAGTCTATCGCGTGGAAAACCAGAACGAGCACAACACCAACTTGGAGAGGCGCCACTCGCGAAAGCTCGAGTTCGCCGAAAAGAGACTTCCGTTCGATGATGTTATCGTTACCGAGAGCATACAGCAGCGCAGCGCCTCAACACCCAAGAGGATTATACCCGTGTTTGATGGCAATGGGCTTGATGTGCCTGATCACAACGCCGAACTTGTTAAGGTACTGGCATTAAGAAGTAATTTTGTAGCCGCTCCTTTCTTTCAGGACTTCGGAAATTTTAAGTAAAGGAGCGTTTAATTATCGGTTGTATAGTGTATTCATTGTGAATTACCTTAGAGTAAGCGATAAAATTAACGAACGTAATAAACGATTGCAATTAAATCAGCTGTGCGCTATTATTTAACAGCATTTATATTCGCCAGTGTAATTTATTTTCGAATAATGCAATATTCCAATTGTATAAATCCCTTAAGGTGGCTGGACAGTTTTCATTGCTTTTTAATGTAATACATTCATTTATGTAAACTTCAATTATAAAAGAATTCAGTTTGAACATATTGTCATTTCTTTGCACGTGTGAAGAAAAATAACTATAATGTCAGCATAAAATTTAATGTAACTTTTAAGAATGGATATTTAAAATGTAAAATATAGTAAATTTGAAATTTACTAAGAGTTATGACACTAGAAAAAATAAAATAATAAATCCACTACTTGAGCCTATTGTAAGCTATTAAGTTTATATGTAGCAAAGCGTACATGCGTGTAACGTTTATTTTATTTTAGACATTTCGATATAATCAATGCATAGCCTATGCAAATATTTTAAATTAAAAGTGAAGCCTCGATTTCCGGTCGTTATATCTACTTCAAAACTTACCGAAACAACCACTTAAGGATTATATATACCTAATACATTTTAAATAAATAATTTCTAGACTAAAAAATTTATAAAATATTTCCAGATTAATAAAATTTAAAAAATATTTCTATATCAATAGCATTTACAAATTATTTCCACATTAATGACATTTACAAAAAATAAATATACTTTAAAAGAAAAAGAACGACTTTAATATTGTATCCAAGTATTGTTCAATAGACAAATTCTATCCGCTTTATATCAATCTAGGACGCAAGCACTTCCTATATACATTACAAATGCATTTTTAATCAACGTGCTCAAGAAACGATCGATAAGTGTTAACATTTATAATATCTATATATACATTTATGTCTGTAATGAAATATCATTTATATTGTTTTCACTGATTATTATTCTTTTTATTATAACATTAGGGAGTGTTAACATTATAATGCTGACTAACATATGAGCTTATATAATCTAATAGCGATTCAGTGCCATATTAATTATTCCAATTGTTATAAAGCATATATTCATCGTAATTTCATTCATGCACATTCATGGTCATATTTACTACTTACTTCATTTCCGTGTGTGACTTGATTTGCTATGCGTAATAACGCAGGTCTTGCATTACTTTATCGATGACATTTAACTTAACTGATTTTATTTTATTTCTTCAAGGTTGACGTGGTGAAGCAACTTTCAGTGGTAATACCATCGGAGGTGCCGCAGGAGGTCCATAACGCAGCGATGGCTGCGCGACGCAATCGCAAGAGCTCAAACTCAGAGTTAATGCAGCAGCAGCAACAGCAGCAGCAGCAGCAACAACAACAACAACAGCAGCAGCAGCAACACGAGGCACAGCTGACTGAGTCGACGGACGTAAATGAGGCCAAGAGTCCTCAAAAGAGTAAAAGAAAGGCACCGGCACCACCTGGCTGGATGAACGAGGATGGAAAACTGGCAGAGGAGGCGAAACCATCGGTCGAGGTAACGAAATGGGAGTCGAGATAATTACTTTGCAATTAGCCCCATCTTTTTTAACTTTTTTTTAATTAGTTTATTACCGGCTGCTTTAATTTTCTCGTGAATAATTTAGTATTACCGGAGCATACTTTTAAACCCTTTTAGTATTTTATCTGAATTATTGCTTTCATTCGGTGTCGATATTATTGATAAATAAAAAATAAAATAATAATAAAAAAGGATAAATAAAAAATTATGCCCGTACATTACTTAGTGGAATTGCAGTCTCTTAGTTGCAGTTTACTATTAACATTGTAATTAATATTGGAATTCCATCATTTAGATTTACGCAACACTTATTTTATACATACACTGATAGTAATAATTGTATAAATCGCAAATCAATTATAACGCCAATTCACGTTTGATTTTTTTACGAATAGAGAGTGAGGTAAATTTTTTTAAGTGACACGTTACTCAGCAGTTCCAATAATATAAACTAATAAAATATAAACTAATCTAAGATCATTTATTATCTAAATTTTCTTTATAAATTAAATATTTTAATCTTTATATTGTATTTTAATAATAAACATTTATTTACACTTACACAAAAATATAAAAATTAATAACAATTTTTCACGATTTACGACGGGTTTTGTAATTAATCGGGTTTAGTAAAACCTTAATCTATTAAAAACATGTACCAAGTACGCAATATCAAATTCACAACTCAACATTATTGTTACTTGTGTTTGTAACATAGTTTTAAAGATTTAAATTAAAATTAGAGTTCATAAGGATTATATTCTGTAGTATCTACATCATTATAAAAATTTACTAAAAGCATTAAAAATATATTTTCCATGTTTAACTTTAGATACTTTAATTTGAAGTATTTTGAAATTTAGCATTTATACTGTGCATACATAAAGTTACAACATATTTATCGATATTATTATTCTCAAACCTAAATAGTATTATCATTGAAAAAATAATTTTTATTGAATAAATAAATGGTACTCCTTGTTATATGTATATGAAAATAAATTAATAAATTGTAAATTTTAATAGACGCAGAAAAGTTTAACGATGATCGAATTGAATCCCGCCGACATCACGGTGCACCATAGCCCAGTTCCAGATACTTCAACCAATGATACTGAATACGATGATAATGACGACGTATACCGTAAAGCCGCGAGTCTTGGTGATTTATCCAAGTACGAAAGTAAAACTTCGACGACGCTCGAACGGGCCCAGAGTTTGGACATGACGGATTCTGGCTCGAAAAAGCGCAAAGCACCGATGCCACCACCTGAAGATATAAACGAATCCACGGAAGATTTGACGAAGCTCGATCAGATCGAGACCTTCGACCGTAGGAAGTTAAAAAAGTCCAGCGAATGGGGCACCCTTGAAGACGCCATTTGGAGTACGCCTCCAGTAGATTCTTTAGAAAATAGACTTCCTAGGGCGAAGAGTAATAATAGTAGTGGCGGTACCCTAGAAAGATCCAAATCAAATGTCGAGATCAAGATTATCAATGACGGGGATGATAGGTTGTCCATCGCAGAACGCCTTAATGTCTCGGATGATGCGACGGATACCAGCTTAGAGCTATATAATCTTCCTCTTAGTAAGAAGCTATCCGAGGAAATTATCAAAGCAGAACGTCTCTTTGATCCGAACGAGGACAATGCTTTAGCGAGAATAGTTAATGACGGCAAAGTCGTGAAGACATCCACAGCCAAACAGATAGACCTGGATTTCCGTAAAGCTCATCCTCCATTGCAGCATATCGACGAAAGCGATGACAAGGAAGAGTTGGAGAAAGAGTGCGTAACAATGAAAAAAACGCCAGAAACGATGGAAGCCTTCGAACAGGCAGTTCTCTATTTCGATAATCACGCAATGAGCTCGCCTTTGTCGACCGAATTTAAGGTCAATCGTTCAGAGCCGCCCTTAGAGCTTTATACCGGCAAGAAAGAAGTGATTGAGGAGCCCATAACGAAAGTCATAGTAACGCTCAGTCCGTGCCCAGGCTGCGAGAATCGACATGGCAACCATAGCAATACCTGCACGAAAAATAAAACGGACGACACCACGGAGGTCTCATATCACCGAACCATCCGAGTCGAAGAAGTCAAGAAGGACGAAACGGAACATCAAACAGATCACGATAGACTTAACGACACTTTCGAAACGCACTTTGCCAAACCAGTTGTGAGTGTAGGCGACATTAGTGCTAAGAGCGACGCTGAAAACGATGAGGACAGTACGAGCTACGGGCCAATGATGATCGTAAATAGTAAAGATCTGTCTTCACTCGCAATTGATAAGCGTAATGTTAGTAACGTGAGTGTATCGAGTGGCGAAAGTTGCGACGACTTTGAACGTCACTTGTTGGACAAACGAAGAGCCTCGGATGACGCCGGTGCTGGGAACGACTCGCCGCAGAAGCTCGCTTACGTTACAGAGATCAAGGTGTCTCCGACGAGTCGTGAAAATAATGGCGGCGGTTCGAACAGGGACGGCGATCCCTCTAGCGACAACGATGAAGTGGCCTCGATTATGGATACTGACAAGAACACATCGTCTCCGGTTACCCTGAATGTCCGATCCAACGGTAAACTTCCAGCAGGGAAAAAGCCGCCAGTGCCGCCGAGGCGTTCCGACGTAACGCGATTTGTGCCGAGGAACGAGGCCGCGCTACCTGACAGACAAGTGGTCTATGTCTCGGAGTACAAGTCGTCTCCAAAGGAAGACAAAGGCGACGAAATGATAAAATTTGAGAATTGGATATTCTTGAAAGACACCAGCAAAGATAAGCAGCAAGAGGTGAATACATGGAGCAACGGCTCCAGTCCCTTGCAGCCGGTCACGAACATCGTTCTGTCTTCTTCGGCTGATGAGAAGATTGTCCGTGAGTGAAGGATGTTGAATTGAAAATGCGAAAAGCTAATAATAGAAAACAAGAAGCCACGCGGAAGCAAATCTTCGCGAAATCACATAATTTGTAAAAACGATAATTCTTTCGTAGAATGATTGGATATTTTAGTTGGACACTCTGTATAAATTACAATATCGTGTTTTCGAGTTACCGATGCTTACGACACCCTCCAAACTCTACCTTTATCAAAGTACCGATTCACTGACCTTATGTTAAACGTCAAAGTGCAATAATTTATTGTTATTTAAGTCATGTTTATGGAAAAAAATTATTTTAAAAAGCTACTACAATAGATTGAGACGACTTAAAACATTATTTTAGTAGAATGATTACTTATCCTCATTTTCTATAAAATGCAATCAACAATAACAAAAATTAAAATTATACACTTGCTTGATTTCATTTTGAATAAGAGAGAGAGAGAGAGAGAGAGAGAGAGAGAGAGAGAGAGAAATTTAAGAAAAAAGTTGTTAAGTAGATGTACCTTCTAGAAGTTTGTCGAGTAGCACATTATTGTAGTATAAAAATATAAAATATTTTAACACTTAAATAGAAATAAACAATTGATTTCATAGTCAGTTAATTAATGCCCCAATAAACGTAGGGAACACATGTCCCAATGGATTCTTTCAAATATAATGTGCCCATGTAACGAGCGCATCCCCGTTATCTCGTGTGCTAACAAGTACATCGAAGCTTGTGTTGTTATCAAAAGTTTCCAAATTCGGGTTAATATGTTGTTCTACCTGTGCCATAGAATTCGAGAGTGAGAGCGAGCGAGTGGGTAAAAAGGAAAGAGACAGAGAGATAGTGATTATTGTTCGCGTTAAATGATTTTTTCTAACGGAGGAAATAGGTCTTTGTTAACTTTGTTTTTAAACGATAAGCGATTTAAAAATTGTACCTCACTTTATTATATCTCCCGGCAGCATTTTATATCAAAGAGAGGGATAAAGGACGTTTTAAAATGCTTTAATGCCGTGTTCGGAATATGTTGAGAAAAAACAAGCGAAAAGATAAATGTATAAACGATTGTATGAAAAAAGTGTTGTATATAAAGGTCAGTGTGTTTATGCGTATGAGATGTGAAAACTTCATTTAGAGAATATTTTTTTATTGTTATACCTGTGTAATTTTTTCCAATACTGTTTTTTAAACGAGTCGTTTTATAGTGCAAAAGAAAATTCCATCGTCTTAAAATATTTAAGTCATTTAAATCAACATATAAAGCAGAAAAATAATTATTATGAATGGATGAACGAATAATAATAATTTTCGAATTTTTATAACAAAATATATTGTTATGTACGTAAATATAGTCCTAAAAGTTGATAACTCTATTATCAAAATGACTATAAGTGATTGAGCAAAAAGTATTTTCATAATATACATCATTTAATTGTAGGATACTTTTAATTAAGACCAATTTTAGATTAGATCGGAAAATCTGCAAATTGTAAATTTCGTAAAATAAGTAAGTTTAATCAAAATAAAATTTAATATAACAAATACCGCATTATAAAATAATTTTTAAAAAATTATTAATTATTATTGTAAGCATTTTGTTGAAATTATTTTAATCAATTAAATTTATTAGCTATTATATAGAGGTATTTATAGTTTTTGAGTTACTTACAACTAAGTTATAAAAATAATGAAAAAATTAAAATGCAATAGGGAATATGAATTTAATTATATGTCAATTTTACTGATTTGTCAATTGTCAATAACGATAATAGTCGTGGTGTCTATTATCAACACGTACGGACCCATAAAAATACACATGTCTAATAGTACTTCTGTAAAATAATTTATTTTTTAAAGGAATATTGAATGTTTCTCCAGAATTGTTAATATATGTTTTATCTTTTAAAGGTTCACAAAGTTTAGTTTTTATATCTGATATATTTTTGTAACGTTTCACAAAAGTCAAAACTTCGGTACTTGTCAAGATTAACCATTCAAAATATGTATCCGAGTTATTAAGGCAATTATTGGTATAATTTCATATTGCACACAAGTGCGCACGCAAGTTGTATACATTAGCCTTGAACGAAGCTGCAGACACAGCGTGCCGTATATGAAAGTATATTTTTATAAACAAATCTCTGCACACATATACATACATATGTATGTATATGATTAGTATATCATTGGAAAAATAGTCGTTATGCAACACGTAAATAAAATATAATTGTTTACCATAGTTGAGAAGCACATGTATTAAATGTTTGAATACCTTTTAGTAACTTGATTCATCCTCATTCAAATACTATTAAGTAGAATATAGATATAGAGATAAAAATCAAATGGCAACAAAAAATTGTTTCCTATTTTTACATAATGCATAAAAAATAATTTTTGAAAGATAAATAATAAAAATCATACGTATAAATTTATTATTCTAATTAATGGAAGCAATTTATTTACATAAACACATAAATAAAAAAATTAAAAAAGTTTATACAAAATAAACCATTATTTCTAAATAAATATTTTCATTTAAACAATGTAACCTATAAACTGAATTCGAATAAAAGACATTATTTTTTATATAACTTTAATCAATGCCAACTTTAATCAATAAGTTTATAAAGTGAAAAGAATATATAAAGGACTTACTCAATATAATTTAATCCTAATAAGAAATAATTTAAGAACATTGAATTTTTACAAAATTAAAAACTGTAAAATAGTATATAAATACTGTCAAATTTCATATTATTATATATTGTAAATAAAAAAATTAAATACAAACTAATTCTATATAAATATAATATGCTCTATGTAGCAGACTGTCTATAATTTTTTGTGTTCATCAATTTCTTTCCACACATTGCACAAATGGCTTTTTTATATGCACATGACTGACAATAATAAGATCCTGCTTGATGTACTACTTGTCGACATATTCTGCATGCTTGAAATTTAGATGTGTATGGATTGAATCTTGTTTTGTTTGCTGATAAAGCTTTGTTTTCCCCAACTTTGCGTCCTCCACTTTCTACAGTATTTCTTGCACCAGCTTTCCAAGGATCCGGTGTAATTATACGGCCAAGTTTTGCCTCGCACTTTTCACAAACCATCTTGTAATGCACCTGTACATTAAGAATAATCATTATTGAATTCATATAGAAGGTTGCAATAGATAATTATAAAATTAAAATAATTATAAATTAAAAAATAATTTTAGAAAAATTATAAAATTATAAAATTATGTATAAACATAAGTATGTAAAAAATATAATAAAAACTTTTATTGCTTATAAATGGATATTTTAGAATCGAGTAAATCCATAAATTACTTACATACGTATTTTATCACAAATAATTCCAAGATATACCTCTGTATATTTCAATGAAATAGTGTAAAACTTCCTTAGAGGTTATTTACGTTTTTAGAAATATAATTGCACAATAATATTATAAAAGAGAAATGGTCGCCAGATGGCGCTTATTGTGAAGTCTACCGTACCGTAAGAAATTAATGCAGCATATTCGAATTGCGACGCTGTATGAAATATATAATCGGAAAATTTAGTGTAGTATTTACATAAAATTGGTAGAAATTGTGTAATTTTAATTTTAAAAAAAGTTTTAAAGTCAACTGTATTTAGATTGAACTTTCTGTTTTTGTTTATATAAATTAATAAAGTGACAATTGAAAATTATGTATTAAAATTAATTGAATGGAAATTCTCTGGCTTTTAATAAAAACAATCTTTGTTTACTAAACTTATTAATCTAATTCAAATAATTAAAGCTATAAATTTCGAATCCAACATCAACGAAGTAATGTCGTAAAAACAATAACATTCATGCAATACAAAAAAGCGTCGACAGTCACAGTCTTAATTTGTTTTAAACTCAGGTACTCATTACAACAAAGAAATTGAGAATTCGAGCACGATAAAATTCAACAAGTGAAAAATTAGTCTTAGCAGATATCTACTAATTTTATTACAAATCTAATGCAAAACAATGAAAACGTACAGCTGGGCGTGTATCAAAAGCGATGATATTTAGTACGTTGATCATCTTACATTCCGGGTTCTTTTGATAAAGTATATATCATTTTTGCCATTTGTTTCGAGCTTATACACCATTTAAAATGGTACAAGTCATCGGCACTGATGAAATGCATCTACTCGTGCATTACGAACTATAAATTTTGTAAGCTATACAGTTTTGTATAATTACGTATTATATATTTTGTATAAGTTATAAATAAAAACATTAAATATAAAAATAACTACCTGCTAAGATTCATGTAATAAATTCAAGATTTAAGATGAATGTTTTGAAGAAATTCAATTCCAATATATGATATTAATAGAAAATTAATGGTTACATTTGTTTTAAAATAAAAAAAGTTCTTTCTAAATATGTATTAAATTTGCTACTAATTTTAATTTTTGTCAAAATTTCCTTATATACCTACAGTATCAGATATCGTAATTTAAAACTTTTATTACATATATTTTTATTTTTATTACAATATCTAAAGAATGGGCAGTTTTCATATTTAAAAGCAAATATTCATTTATAGAGATAATTTGAAACGGGTTTTTATTAAACTTTCTTTTGGTTTCACTACAAAGAAACTTACCTGTCAATTACTAACAAATTATAAAAATTTGCACCACAAATTTCATCAGAAATATATTTATACTAATTGTTCCTTTATTTATAATCACAATAAAACACCTTCAAGAAACCTAAATAATTGCAGTATATAGTAGGATAAAAAGCATGGAATAAAAAGTATAATAAATAAAAATAACCATTCACATACAGGACAATCTTTATTAATTAATGATTTTTTAAGTTACAATATAATATTAATAATTGTGATAATGTTAGTAATAATCATTATAATAGTATCGTAGCATATATAGATATATATATATATATATATATATATATATATGTATACATTTATTTATATATTTATTGTTTATATATATATATATATATATATATATATATATATATATATAATAAATAAATAAATATATATACATTTTATTTTTATATGCATGTATATCGTTAATTTTTATATCAATGTATTTAATGCTCATATAATCCCTAGACTTTTAATGATTATAATAATATGCAATCGTCATGCAATCGTAACACTGAATTTGATTAATTTCGCGCGCGGCTACTTTCTTCGATTATTTCGATATTATTGCATCTTAAATTCTTTGTGTTAGTGAGGAGTAAGTGAAAATTCCCATACTGTAAAGGAATCTATCCATGAACCATTTCTTAGAGCAACTATCATTTTGTTATTCTTGTTTTAACAACGTTCGATTCATATGCATTACTAAAAAAATTCATACACATTTATAATTTGCTTTTTCCATCATTTTTTTATAATTACTATATCTCTCTCTTTATTTTTATTACATATACGCACACGTGCATACACACAAATGAATTCTGACTTTCAGCCACCACATTGGTTTATTTATTTGAAATTGAAGAAACAATGTCGCGCAAATGTTTCAAGTTTTGAATTATTGTGCGAATCTACCATGTCATTCTGGTCCGCTAACATTTTTATTTTCTTTTTTGTTTTTTTTTAAATTTTTTTTTATTTATTTCTTTTTTGTTCACTAAATCTAGAAAATATACATTGTGTACTTTCCCCCTTAATGTTCCCTCAATATATCGTCGTACGACGCTCCCAATTTCCTTCTAAATAATTTGATTTTGCCGATTTTTGCATATCGCAATATTGTGTTATGAAGTTTGCCTATACGACGGTAAGGGGATCATCCCATTTTTTAATTGTCAATTAATCACAATGAGCTCTTGGATATCGTCACTTTTAAATGCATATTAACTATTTTACACCCCGCCCCTTATTCTCTATAATTCTCCCCTTAAATTCGCACTTGAATATCGATTCCCTATATTTTAATCTTATTAAAACTATAGCTTCTAAACATACAAATCGATCGCTGCAACGAAATTCGAAGACACGTTTATATCGATTGATAACAAACAATGGCACTATACATTTTGAGGGGTCGAAGGAGTTCGATCGATTAACGTTTTATCAATATTAATTACTTCAGTTTATCGGCATAATCGACATCAATCAATCACTTAAAGCTTCGTTTCTTGTTTTTTTAAAACATTTTAAAGTTCTTATTTATCTTATTGGTTGATTATCGTGTACAATATAAGATATGCAGCTATGAAGCTTCGATAATGATCGATTCGAAAACATGAAACATCAATCATTTTTCTCAATTAAAATAATACTTGATGTAGATTAAATCGTGTAAGGCTCACCGATTGAAAAATGATTCAACCCTTAGTTCATCGACTCGTTCAGCTTATTTAATTCTCTTTAGAAATTGTTGACTTATATGCAACGACTCTGTCATTATTCTATGCTTATTATTTTGTATTTTTTTTTCAATTAATTTTTTACATAATTTTTATTATCATCACTAACGCGTCTGAGGTGCGCTTAAAAACTAGTGAGAAACTGAGATGAAAAATTCGAATTTTCTTATTCTCGAATAAAATTAAAGAATAATTTATGTTTTACACTCTAGACAATAATAATGTAATGTAACATACAGTGATACTTCTATTTATTTTATGCATTTTACCCTCAGTACACATGTGACACGAGCAATTCCTACTACTTATAGTTTCTCTCATGTATTTATTTATTTTTTTTTTATTTTTCCTGTTCTATACATTGCCATTTTCTTTCGTTAGTTTAATTGTCTCTAGTGTAATTTCTACCCTTGTAAAAAACGCTACAATCATCGAGATGTGATTTGCATTTGCTCGCGGAGACTGATAATGAATGTTTGCTGGATTACCTCTTTATAATCCCATGTCAATACGCAATTGGCAACACAAGTCTCAATTATTACAGTATCGTCAGTCTGAGCTTGCGACATCACACTTAACATCAACGTTTCCACAATGTCAACGAATTTGCTTCTTTCATTATGTTGTATTCATTATAGTGTGATAACTTATTTGTGTAAATTAGATGTGCTTTTGCTGCAAATCAATATTTAACTAGATGGTCAATTAATAAAGCGTAAGAGCAATATTTTAGATTTCAATTGTCACTAACAATTTCCTCGGAGCTTTGTAACCAAATTCGCAACGATTGTTTGCATTTGTGCAGGATATCGATTTATTCGATTATCTAATGCAGATGATACGTTTCTTTTCACAGTATTTCGAGACATTACCAAATACGATCGAAACTTATAATCGAATCTATTTTCGTTTTATCGATCGATATGTGCTCAACAATCATCAATGCGCATCAGTGTAAATAACTAATATTAATAAGCAACACTTTTTAGTCACTATGTATCAAGTACAATATTCAGATGTGTAAATTATGCATTTATTTAATTTATTTATTTTGCCATTTCTTATTATCATTTAATTTTCTAATAACAAACCGCGAATCGTCAAGACGGCATCGGCATAATTGCCTATTAAAATTCGAAATATTGGAAGCGCGATTCTTATAGCCAATTGTTAATTTGCTTTACTTTTAAATGCATTTTCCACATCACAGCTCTTGAGTCCATAATTCACAACAATATTCAACATTTTACAAATTAGCATAAAAGTCATTGACATATTAATTCAGTACACAACAATTTATTGTATTTTAATTCCAATCATTAAATTGTTCTATTACTTTTCAATTCTTTCTTTTGATCACTCATTAATTAATCGTTGTCCTAATTGCGCAATGTTATTCATTTAGCATCATATGTATTTATTTTGATAAAATTTGCTAATGCTCTTTAAAATAATTTATCAGGTTTATTTTTTTTATTCGATACACTTTATTGAAAAATCGCAAGACTACGACTTGTGTACTGACAATTAAACACGAGTAGTCGAGCATTAATCTCGAATTTTTAAAAAGTTTAGGCACTAGGAGTACTTAAAATGAAATTGGAAATGACGTTTTCTCAACTTCTCTATACTATTAGTCTTCATATTTTTCAATCAGGTAAGACAAAAATGATAATAAAAAATTTTTACATTAACTAATGAAATACGTGATAATACATACATAATGTAAAATGTTTAATAAATTTAAAACATACGTGACAAAATTAATTATATTTTTGTTTTTTGATCATTCGTTAAAATTTATTAATAGTTAATAAAACTTTAGAAATTGTGACTTCGAAAGCAAAGCCACAGTCATGAAAGGGATTATCCTATTGATGTTTTTACATCGAATGTTCAAATGAATTTGCATTCAATGTGTATTGAACGTCTGTATTTTTATGTACATCGAACACACTCAGAGAATTATGACAAAGTTGTAACAAACACGATGTAAAATTGTTGTCAGTGGGAAGATATTTCCATGAGGTATTTATTGATAGATTATAATGTAGTGAAGCTTATT